CCATGTCCCTCTTCTGAAACCCACTGTGATTTTCTGGGTCTTATGAAAGTGCAGAGAGACTTGAACTATCTTATCGCAAGAGTTCTCTGGCTGCTTGGAAAAGAGCAATCTCATGGGTGGGCCACAGCTGAGAGGCATTTGCTTAAAAGATGGGGGGTTGGGGAACCCTCTGAAAGGAAAGTGGAGTGTTTAACTACTTCCTCATAAAAAAACTATTTATGGTACTTAGAACACAAATAAAATCTAGGGGATGAGGTGGAAAGCACATTATGGGAAGGTGATAGTGTTAGATTTGGATTTCCTCTTTTTTTTTTAAAAGATTTATTTATACGCACAAGAACTGGGGTACAGGGCAGAGGTGCGGGAGGTGAGAGGATTCACCAGAGACAGAGTGGGGACAAGAATAGGCAGACTGACTGAAATACATTGCTGAGCGGAGCAGCAGGACACACAGGAGAGGTCTGCTGCCATTGTGGGTAGCAGCTCCCTGGCTAGGCCGGGGATCGTATTTGTGCTGCGGAGGCTGCAAATAGTTTCACAGTGCTCTGCTTAACTCCTTGCGCCACCAGGGAGGCCCCAGATTTGGATTTTCTCTTGATGGAATTTTTTTCATGGAGTTTTGGTCAGCCTATCATGCTCCAAACAAGTATGTTTTCTTCTGGGACGTTCCAGGAATGTGAGAGTGAGTAGGTTCAGCTCTCACCACCATTTTTTGCTTTGTGGAATTTCATAATATCCCATTGTGAAGTCCTGGTTCCATATCATAACTCCTTACTTTTAGGGAGGATTCGGTGGGAATAGAGATGAAAGCTATGCCTTTGTAAAGCCAAAATAAATTTTTTTTAAGGGTTTGTAATAAGGGGGTGGGTGGGAATATCATTTCCCCTAAGATTATTACTAGGAGACATTTTGTTTCTATATTTGAAACACTGTTACAGTCAATGTATAATATTTTATCATTGGTGGCATACTTAAATGCTTAAAATCACTTCTTGAAGGAAAGTGCTTTATCTTTACTTAAAGCAAGAGCTAGGGCCAGATATGTTTTTAATTTTCTTCAAAATTCAAATTTAGTAATTAAAACTAACAATAACAAGTATGATTTTACCTTGTTATTTTCCAGACGTTGATTTTTACAGTGAACTGGTGACCTATAAAATAAAGCAAAAACATGACATCCTGTTTCTTGTACTTCACATAAAGAGCAACTGAAACTATTTTAATTTTAAATTATTATGCCATGTGAAAACAGAGTGTATTTTGCAGGTGTGTTCCGTTAGAGTCAGAGAAAGTATGCTTTCTGCCTCCCTCCTGAGCTTTGCCTTCCACTTAGTTTACTGTCTCTGAGGCAGTCTTCTTAGAAGGACTGAGCAAAGCTCCTGGGAATGATAAGTGCTAAGTTCATCTTGCAAGAAGTGGAGTTATTTTTAAAATGAAGTTCTGAGTTGTGGTTGCTGAAAAACAACTCTATAATAACATTTTGTTTACACAATTTAAAGTTTATTTTAAAATTGATTATATATAATTTCAGACTTATCTAGATCCATAATATGTAATGTCTGTTGAGAGTATATACATATTTTGCACATTGCTTTTTTTTCTCTTTACATTATAAAATGGGCATAATACTTGGGGATACTTTATGAAATATATTCACTTATCAGTAAAATATTTCTTTCTCCTGACATCCTGTCCATTGTAGTTTCAGAGGAAGGGGGAATTGGAGGTTATGGTCACAGGAAGGAGGGGAGATCTTATTCCAGTCCCAGTGCTTGTTGGGAAGAAGACAGAAGAAAGAGGAGAGAGGTATAGTTTGAGGTGGTTGGGTAACAAGTTCCTTGCTCCTCATACCACCAGCAGCATTTTTGGTTCTTTCTTGCCCTAGTTGGGAGATTTGGAAGCTCTCAGAATTGCAGGGGACAGGTAAGAGTCTGGTGTCAGAACTGAGAGACCCCAAGTGAGGGGAATAGTGAAGCAAGAAGCTCCTCCTCACTTCCCAAAGATCCATAAGTCACCTTGGAAAAGAGAAGGGAATGGGAGGGGTTCTTTGAACCTAACTGTCTATTCCAAAGGAATTGAATTGCCTAAAGTGATTAAATTGTGAATCAGATGAGATTGTAAAGCTGGATTAGAATATACTGAATTTCAGCCTCTCTCTTCCTGGCTCCCTCTCCCAAGCCCTTCTCCCAATCCAGTGAGCAAGAACTCAAAATGGAATAAGGAACAACTTCTAGAGGGAAAAAAATGGACCTCGTCTCTGCCCCAGTATATGTGAGTAAATCTTTGATCTCACTGCAGTTAAAACAAGCACTTCTTTATTATTAAAACCTCCTCATATATGTCATTTTGAACCATCATAGACTTAATATCATCCCTATATATGGAAATAGTTTTCTTTATAATAAATAACATCACTGAGAACACATTAAGCCTATTAAATGAAAGCAGAAAGTGAAAACTTTTATATCTGAAGAACAAGACATAAATATTTTATTCTAAGTTAGATTTGCATCTTACCTGTATACATAATAATAATTGTGAGTGATAAAAGCCAAACCCATTTAACAAAAAATAGAATCTTTGAAAATGAGAATTTTGCTTATTCTTGGGAGAATTTTGTCAAGTTATTTCCTAGTGCAACTGAATCTATGAAGTGAACATGTATAATTGAGGGAAATGAAAAATGTATGGTATATATTCATAAATATTGAATGGAAGAAAAGAATAGAAGGGAAAGTTGAGGTGAAGGTAATAATAAATGACAATGACTTGGCAGTAGAATGACAAATAACTGAACCAATTGAAAATGTTCATAGTGTGGCAAAGGAGTCATTTTCTCAGTAAGGCATTGCTCTCAATATCATTTTCCTTTTTCTTTCTTCACTGTCAAGTAGAATAAAAACATAGGTAAGTTTACAATTCTTTAGAGAATGCTGCTTTCGAAGTTACAACTTTTAGTGTCCTCAACTGATTTGCTTCTTAATTTAGGTTTAAATGCGAGGAAGGGCATCTCGGTTTTTCCTCACAGGCCTTATCCTTTGTCTATAATTGTCAAACCACTCCAATAATGCTAGAAGCTGAATAGTTTACGTGGAGGAGCATCTAATTTATTCCTTACCTTGACTAATGGATTGATTCCTATTACTCCCATTATAGAGATGAGAAATTTGAGGTTTAAAGACAGGAAAACGTTGTTTGAGGTCACAACTCACTAGGGTTGGACTTTGAATTGGAACTTCAATCTCACCTTAAAGTCTCTAATCTCTTAGTTATTTTCTAAATGATTGATTGGTTAGGTCTTAATTTGTCTTCTGATCCTCTGAAAGTAAATTGTCAGAGCCACATAAATGCCGATATTTTGTGAGGAACAGAAATAACCAACGGGAGAAGGAGCAGGTCTGCGGTCCCAGGATGGACTGACTCTCAGAGCCCCATGCTGTTCAGGGCTCTGTACTGAGAGTCCATCTGGAGTAGCTCATGGGGCCAGGGGCTTGTCCTCATACTGAGGATACTGGGCTTTAAAACTTAACATTTTAAAAGAAATCTTTAACCAAGGGGTTGGAAATAGAGAATTGAAGTGGACTAGGGAATTTTCTCTTCTCCCAAAGAAACTGAATATCCCTCTCCATGTCCTTCCCTTTCCTTTCTACTTACTGCCCAGCATCTAACATGGTGACTGGCACATGGATGCTCAAAAAAAGTTTGTTGAATTGTCTTGGTGTAAGGAGAGTCACATTCCTAAGTTTGAGCACCAGAAGTCCACATTACCCCCAGAGGCAGGCACAGGTGTTGGGAGACACCACAAATCCTGGTGAGGGCTCTTCACTTCCAGGTCGCCACGGGCCTTCCCTATCACTCTCACTCTAACAGTCTAGAACCGTACTTTTATCATTAAAGAAATAGAAGATTTGTTTTTTAGTTTGTATGCCATGTGAGGAATGGTATAACTGATACTGTATTTTCTTTCTTCTTGTTTAAATTTAATTCTCTAGGTGGCCCCCTGAAAGATGCCACTTTCATGGCAACAGAACCATTATGAAGCTACCTTAAACTCACAATCAGATAGTTAAAATTGAATTTCATTAGGAGTAAATGAAAATAGACAGTGGTACAATCATTTTGTGAGAGGAAACATTGTAAATTAATAGATCTCATAATTAGCAATTTTTAGTGATGTCAGGCTATGCATTTTTAAGTAATTATGAAAAAGTTAAATCCTACAGTAGGAATTTCAATGATATTAATACTAACGTGGCATTTAAGACTATATATGCTAGTTTTTGTTGAACTTCAGAGATGAAGATGGGAATGATGCGTCCTGGAGCTTGGGGAGCTGTGGCATGGTGAGGCTTGGAGACCTTTATTTTGAAATTGGTATTTGGAGATGTGAACATGTTTTAGATCATCTACCTGAACTCATGGTTTTGTGATGTTTGTTCTTTGCTGTGAAAAATCATATTAAAGTTGAAAATGAAACTATTCTTTTACCTGAGAGAATATGTGAGCAAATTAAGTTGACTCTTTTAAGACTAAGTACAACATTAGAGAGGGGTGGAGTTATAACACTCATGGGCACCAGCTTGTTTCTCCCTGTGCCAACCTGTTGAGCCTCACATACCAGCAACACAGCTGAAAAGATGTTAGGTAAAAGCCTCAAACTGTTAAACTGATAGCAGGATGAATTGAAGAAATTCTCTAGGAACATATTAAATACAACTTATATAATAAACAGGGAAGTGCAAGGAAGAAGCAGTTCTCCAGTCTGCTGGGCACTCTGCAATTACAGGTGGTTTGAGCAGAGACAGGGCACAGCCTCTGTGAGGAAGGCACACCCTAGACCACAGCTGAGGGTCAGGACTGCGGGCTGGTTCTTCATGTGTACATGTGTACGGGGGCAGGTGGAGGATGCCCCCAGGGCAGGATTCTCCAGGAAAGTGAACCAAAGCAGAAAGTTCAGAAGTGGAAAATTTCCAGAGATTGTGGGAGTCATAATAGGAATCCTAGTACTCTTTTGTGGTAAAATTTTTGAGCGTGTTATTTTTCTGTTGGAGCTGACAAGCAAAGGGAATTGGCGCTCTTACAGTTATCTGCTGTTGTCTGAAACGAAAGGATCATGGCACACAGGACTTTCAAATTCACCTCTTCCCTTCCTTCAGTGCATGGGGCAGCAGAAGGCTGGAGCGGGAGGCAGCAGGGCAGCCCAGCCAGGGAGGCCCAGCTCATGTCTCCTCCCTCAGGAGGTGTGGCTCTGTCACTGCATCCTTCTGTCTCACTGGTTTTCAAAAGCCTAAGCTTTCATGTGACTCTTGCCCAAGTATAGGAGTTCATATTGATAAGTGACAGCTATTTGTTTTGACTAGGTCTGTATCTTTTTTCCAAGTAAATGAAGCATATAATGGTATCTTAAGGTATGTTCCTGTGTGGAAATTTTATTAAAAATTTGTTACACATTTGTTTTAAAATATTAAATAGAGAATTACCAACAACAAAAAATATAAAATAAGTTCCACAATATATAATGGTCTCGGGCCTCCCTGGTGATGCAAGGGGTTAAGACGCAACCTATGATGCTGTTCGCAGCCTCTGCAGCACAGGCTTAAGCCCCAGCCTGCCAGGGAGCAACCCACATGGTGCAGCAGACCTCTCCTCTCTCTCCTGCTGCTCCCCTCAGCATTGTGTTTCAATCAGTCTGCCTGTTCTGTTCCCCACTCTGTCTCTGGTGAATTCTCTCACCCCCCTCACCCCCACACACCTCTGGCCTGTACCCCAGTTCTTGTATACATAAATAAATAAATCTTTTATATATATATATATATATATATATATAACCCATATATATATATATGGGTTTCTTTGGGGCTTACCTGTGTTCTATTGATTTACTGTCAAGCATTTCTAAAATTATTTTATGTATGGCTATCTTACAGAGTAACCTCCCTCTCATTATTCTTCAAGGTTTTCTCCAGCACATTTTCATTTCCAGAGGAAATTTAGAACCATGTCTCAAATTGCATGAAGAATCTTATTGGGATTTAATTGGGATTAATTTAAGGAAAATTGACAGAATCAGCATAATCCTCTCTTACTTGGATAATACTCTGGGCTTCATGTTTTTGTTAAGATGGTTTACAAGCATAATGTTATACATCCATTGCATAATCCAAGAGGTGGGTTTTATTACTCTCATTATTCATTGAGGAAATTGAGGTTGAGAGAAGTAATTTGTTCATGGTCACTTGATTAATAAATTGTTAAACTAAACTTTTAATCACAATTTGTCTGGCTTCAGAGTTTGTTTCTCAGCCACCATGGGATAATTGTCTTAAAGTATTAATGCTTTCAAGGAACAGTGTATGCTTCCTCAAGAAAAAGGCTAAGTCTCTTCAGTCTCTTGTTGATGGAATGTGGAAGCAGATGGGTCACAAATTCTCCCGGCTTGGAAATTAGGGACTGTGGTCACTAGAATGAGTAAAAGGATAGTAAAAAACCATGATGAGTTGACAAAGACAGCTATGAGGTAATCCACAGTGAGAAATGTTTCACTGAAACTCATCACCAGGGAGGGTGAGAAAGACCCACACAGCAGCTTTGAGAACACAGGCCTCCAAGTAGACCTTGTCTGGAATCATAGGACTTGAAGAAGAATGAAGAAATTTTGTGTTCCTTGTTTGTTCATAGGCTGCCAACATTCTAACATCTGATTTGTGAATACAAGATCAGTTATATCTTGTCTTCTTTACTTTTTTTAAAAGATTTATTTATTTCTGCACACAAGAACTGGGGTGTAAGCCAGAGGTGCGGGGGGTGAGAGGATTCACCAGAGACAGAGCTGGGAGCAGAACAGACAGAATTTTTTTTTTTTTTTTTTTTTTGTGGGACCCTGGCTGGTGGCCGGGGATCGAACTGGCGCTGCAGAGGCTGCGGGCAGCCTCACAACTCAGCGCTCAACCGCTGGGGAGGCCCAGAACAGACAGATTTTGACTGAAATACACTGCTGAGGGGTGCAGCGGGTGAGGCAGGAGAGGTCTGCTGCTCCATGTGGGTAGCTCCCTGGCCAGCTGGGTATCGAATTCCTGCTGCAGTTCTCATGCTACAGTGGCTGGCATAGCTAGATAGCGCTGTTTTTAACCCCTGTGCCACCAGGGAGGCCCCTTCTTTACTTCTCCTAGAGACCGTTCTTAATCTTTCTGTTGGCAATTAAGGATTGATTAAACATACTTTAACACATCTATAGAATGCACTACTAAGTATTCATTAAAAATGACGCTACAGAAAACATTTAATGACATTAGGGGATATTCTAAGTAAAACTAGCTGACTACAAAACAAGAAGACAGTGTGATTCCACTTTGCATTAGAAAATTCTATATAAACATTCTATATAAATGTGTGCACTCAAATATACAGCACTTCATGTGATGAATAACACATGATTTTTCTCTTCTTTCTCATAATTTTATGTAGTTATCTACTTTTGGGATGAAAACTATTATGCTTGCAAATAGAAAAAAAAAATCTACACATGCATCAATTAAAGTAGTAGACCACATGGTATTTCCCCGTAAAGCTGACACAGCTCTCTTTCTTGACCATTTGGTCTGAAGGAAATATTGCAGAAAGGCTGAGACCAGTGTTTCTCAAAGCGTTGTCCTTGGTAGCTCTGCTATACTCACATCTACTGAATCTGAAGCAAAGTCTAGCAGGGCCCAGTCATATATGTTTTAGCACATCCTGCTCTGGGTGATGCTGATGCTCACTGAAGTTTGAGAACCATAAATTTAAAGGACCATATGAATTCTTTATGATAATGGGTTTCTCAGAAGCAAAAGTAACAGAGTTTGCATGTATAAGATTAGTCTGTTCAACCTACCTGCACGGAGCTCCCTTTCGATGGGTGACCTCACATTCTTCTCCAGGAGCACAGAGATTGTCCAGGTACTGCTGGCTTTCGTCTCCAGGTCTGCAGTGACACTCTGCCTTTTTGGTCTGCTCGTTCTTTACACACTGGGCAAATTCACCACAGGCCATGAATTTGCAGGGATCTGCTTGATCAGCTGTGACAGACAGGGCAGCTTTTAATGATGCTTTGATGGAACTGGTGGGAGTGAAAGGCAGGAAAACCAACAGTATTTGCCATCATTTTATTTTAGAATGGGTTGTACAGTAGTGATAATAGAACAGAGTAAGGAGACACATATTTTTATATCTATGAAAAATGTTTTTATAGAAACGTATGATGTCATATTTCACATCAAGTATAGTAATGCTCAAACTTTGGTGTGCATAAGAATTATCTAGAGGTCTTGTTAAAAGTCAGATTCCCAGGCCCCAGTCTCAGAGTTTCAGAGGTAGGAACTTTGGGATGGAGACTGTATGTCTAAGGAGGGTCCTGATGACATGGATATGTGTGAATCGAGGAGTACATATTGATACCTATTTCACTACCAAATGGAGATATCTGGCTAGTTTTTGTAAGGTAAGAATTTTCTGCAGGGATGAGTTGTATTTAGGATCAAGTGTAACTTGAAAAGTAGTGCTCAGTCATTTATGTGAACAGGCTTGAGAATTCATGACATTTCCTGATTTAGAAAGTATTTTTCTCTTAATCTCTTGCTGATCCCTAGGACCTTAGAGTCTTTCCTTTAGAAAATTTAAATAAATCTCTGGTCTCTGTTCTTTTTTGTCATTGACTATTCTGTTTTACTCTATTATTAATTCTGCAGGATTGTCTCAGGTTCTTTATAAAATGGATGATAAATTAAGGGAAGCTCAGGGTATCTGACTCAGGAAGGCCAGGGCTCTATCAGCGGTCCCCTCCTGTCTCGGCTGCACTGTGCAGAGAAGCAAGAGGTGCTGTCACGTGTGCAAAGACAGAACCAGAACAGGTCTCTGGTCTTCAGACCACTGCTTGTCTTGGAAGGGTTTCCTATGGAATCACATCAGCTGTTTACTCTTCAGAATATTATTGCAATAAGTGCCTATTATGTGCAAAACACTGCCTCGCACCCAGGGGGGCTCTCCTGGCTCTTTTCTCAGCAAGGGAAGAATTCAACATGAAGATCAGAGTTAGACAAGAAAGCAAAAAGTTTACGGATACATCAGAAGGACAGGAAAGCTCTCTGGACAGCGAGGGGTCCCGAGGATGTTGCTGCTGAGGCATCAAAAAGCAGGAGTTTTTAAGGTATATTTGGCAAGGAGCAGTGGGGGTTTGGACATTGGGTGTCTAGGCGTTGTGTCTCTTGCTGATTGGTTGAGGTCCGTGGGGTTGCCTAGGTTACTGGGGCCCACTGTTATCTATTTCACCTGGCCTGACTTCCCAAAAACAAGCATTGGTCCTTTGCTGTAGCATTGTGTTACTGTAATGGTGTACTGAGCATTCCATTTTTCAGATTAATAAATGGGCTTACGGCCTGAGCTTCTCCTGGTTCCAACTGTTTTTCCTTACTCAGAGTGATAAATGGGCAGATTGATAAATGGGGTTGGGGGCTTGGGGAGGGGGGCTTGGGGTGCCCTGTTCCTAACTATCTGTACCCATTTTCCAGCTTCCTCATTCAACACTAGGGCACAGGCAAACAACTGTGTGTAAACAGTTTTTCCTAGAAACCTAGGGTAAGGCCAGAAATATATACAGATGCTTCTACATAAGAGGTCTAGCGCCTTGTTTAGCATATTAACTCTAAGTACAAGGATAAGTTTAGAGACCAGATTCTAAGGAAGTGATTGTTTGAACTGAGTCAAATGGGTTGTGTTTGTACATGCAAAGACTAGGAAGGGCATCCGACCACATCCAGTAACATGAGCAGATGTGGCTAATGTGAACTGGCTTTCCTAAAGCTGGCCATGCTAGGGGATCCTCCTCAGTTTAGAAAGTAACATTACCCTGACAACTCAGGTACTTCACACCCAGAGCCTGGTCTTATAAATAACAGCTGTCAGCAACTTTTCACTCAGGTCTGTCGTCTTGAAAACAGAATCCAGGAGGGGACTATCAGAGGCTGCCTTTTCCTCTCTTTGCAGTAGAGAAATAGATTTGACTTGAAAAGCCAACTAAAAGCAAGGCTCTGTCCATTTGAAGACTAATAGAAATGTGTAGTAACCATGAGTTTCCTGTTGAAGTGAATATTTCTGTTTTTCCACAATTTTCTTCAACGTACTCAGGCATAGTCTCTGTACTGGTCAGGTTAAACAGAACGCAATGAGGCAACATTGGAGATATAAATTTGTCCAAATTTAGGTGCCCTGAATCAGGCACATTTGAAGAACAAATGCACCTAGATTATAAAAGATGATGGATAACTTGCTTTCCCCTCTTAATGATTTAGGACCAATCTACAAAGAAGTAGGAGACTTCAGGTCAAGAAGTTTACTTTTAGCTTGCTGTGTATGTCTTCCTGTGCACTAAGACAACAGTCCTTCACTCAATGATAATCAACTTGACCTTTCAAAACCTTCAAGCACAATTTTCCCAGCACCATTTATTGAATAAATTGCCCATGTTCCAGTGCATATTCTTTGCTCCTTTGTCAAATGTCAGTTGTCCATATAAGTGTGGTTTTATTTCTGGGCTCTCTATTCAGTTCCATTGGTCTGTGTGTCTGTTTTTGTTCCAATACCAAACTGTTTTAATTATTATGGCTTTGTAGTGTAGCTTGGTACCTCCTTTTTCCTTTGTTTTCATCAGTAGGGCTTTGGCTATTTGTGGGTTTTTTGTGGTTCCATATGAATTTCATCAGTATTTGCTCTATTTCTTTGAAGAATGTCATTGAGATTTTTATTGGAATAGCATTGAACCTGTATATTGCTTTTGGTAGGATGGGCATTTTAATAATGTTAATTCTTCCAGTCCATGAGCAGGGGATGTCTTTCCATTTCTTTGTGTCCTCTTCTATTTCTTTTAACAGTGTTTTATAATTTTCTCTGTATGGGTCTTTCACCTTTTTTGTTAGGTTTATTTCCAACTATTTGATTTTTTGGGTTTCAATTATAAAAGGGATGGTTTTCTTGATTTCTTCTTCTTCTTCAGATTCGTTGTTTGTGTATAGGAAGGCTACTGATTTTTGTGTGTTGATTTTGTATCTGCTACTTTACTGAAATGGTTGATTATTTTGAGTAATTTTGCCATTCACAGCAATGTGGATGGAACTAGAAGGAATTATGCTCAATGAAATAAGCCAGAAGGAAAAAGAAAAATATCGGATGGTTTCACTTATAGCAAGAATACAGGGGAAACAAATAAGACATCATGTAAAAAAATAATAACATAAAAAATAATAAAAGTACAAAACACAACAAAGCAAAAACAGACAATTATAAATCAGAGACATACTGCAGGTGAAGAGGGAGAGGGATCAGAGGGAGGGAGGGAGGAGCACAGGAGACTGAAATGATGGTGCACGGGTGCATTGGTGAAGAAAATTCTATGGGGACTACACCTGAGGGGGGTGGGGTGAAGCAAATATTATTTAAAAATGAATAACGATGTAAAAAATAAAAAAATATAAAAAAATAAAAAAACCAAAATCTTCAAGCACAAAGAATTTCATACCAACTAATTATTTTAATTTTGGTTTTATTTTATCCACATATAAAATTTCCAATTTTGGAGTTCACTTAGTCCATGAGGAAGCGAGACTCAGTGAATTGAATGTTGCCAACCTACCTGTTCATGTTCAGGTCCTCTAATTCCCACCTCTATCACTTTGTGAGCTGAGAGATTCCGGAGAAGGAAAGAGCCCCAATGGGAGCTATTTGATCATGGCATATAGAGGCTATTTGTGGCAGTAATTAGAATGCTAACAGAAAAGACATACTTACAATATTCATGGTTGAAGTACCTCATGCTGCTTCCACCATTACAAAAAATATCTTTCCTAGGTATGCTGATGACCCTCTTTATGTAAGTATCATTTTCAAGGGACAGCTACAACACCAGGCTTTAGGCAAAGACTGACAACTGGATGTGCACTGACCCTAGATGAAACAGCATGAAAGAGAAACAATTGCTTCTATGGGGAATAAAAGTTTAACTAATGGAACTTTCTTAAGCAAAGTTTTCCCTGTGCTGTTACCATTTACCTTCTTGGTCACATCCTGAAGACTTTTCTCCTTAAAATGATGGATTCATTTACGTGTAGGCCATGAAACTATTGCCTCTTTCTTAACACAACACAGGGATTTGCACAAAATATTTTGGTCTGAACTTCCCACTCTTTAGCCTCAATCTGGTCAGTATTAATAATTGAAAATTTATGTAGCTACAACCTAAAATGCATGGTGCTGTTTATGGCTTGTTTGAAAAGAGGAAGGAAAAGGAGACTTGAGATCAGGAGCTGATTGGGAGATAACTAGATACTATTTTCTAAATGAATATTTTCAAGTCATAACAGATTGCGTGTACGTGTGGATTGGAGGAAGTGAAGTCATTGTGACTGGTGTATAGAATAGATGCCCTAGCTTTCCAGGTTGACTAAGTTGCCTAAACTTCCTGTATTTACTTAAATCTCCTTTAAATAGTTTTTTTTAGGGAAAAAAGTCTTTCCTTTTTTAAAAATTATTGAAATGACAATGGTTTACAACAATGCACAAGATTCAGGGGAATAGACTCACAGCTCCTTAGATGTACATCACCACACCACACCCCCCACCACAGCACCCATATCCCTTCACCATATACTAATGGGCCACCCTTTCCTTTGTTCTCATCCCACCCTCTCCCTCTAGTAGCCTCAGTTCTGTAGTCATATTGGTAGGCTTTGTTTGGTTTAGTTTTGTCAGTTCCTTTTTTTTGTTTCACTATATTCTACATGTGAGTTAAATCATCTGGTAATATCTCCCTCTAGCTTATTTCACTTCTCCCTCTAGTATATTCCCTTCTAGTTCCATTCATGTTTTCACAAATGACAAAATTTCATCTTTCCTCATAGCTGAATGGTACTCCATTATGTATATGTACCACATTTTCTTAATCCATTCATCTCTTTGGGGGGCACTCAGGTTGTTGCTATAATTTGGCGATTATAAATGTAACAGGGTGGTCCCCAGGAAAAGGGAAGGG